GGTCATCGGATTCTTGTAATTGTCGTCACTTTTGGGATCCTCAGGTTTGAATTTGGAGGAAGTATCAAGCGGGAACCTCGTCTGTGAGTGAATTGTGAGGAAGTCTCAAGCGGGAGCCCCCTCCCTATGGGGCCCGCAGATTATGTTATTAATCCAAGCGGGTCATCGGATTCTTGTAACCGTCGTCACTTTTGGGCTCCTCAGGTCTGAATTTGGAGGAAGTATCAGGCGGGAGCTTCGTTTGTCAGTGAATTGCGAGCAAGTCTCAGGCGGGAGCCCCCTCCCTATGGGGCCCGCAGATCATGTTACTAATCCGAGCGGGTCATCGGATTCTTGTAACTGTCGTCACTTTTGGGCTCCTCAGGTTTGAATTTGGAAGAAGTATCAAGCGGGACCCTCGTCTGTGAGTGAATTGTGAGGACGTGTCAGGCGGGAGCCTTCCTATGGGTCCCGCAGCTCACGTGGTTCCTCCGGGTCATCCTCCGGCGCGCGCTTCCTCTGGGTCGTCCTCCGGCGCGTATCGGCTGGGACGCACGTCGTGCGCTTCCTCTGGGTCGTGTTCCGCACGAGGACGAGGAGGAGGAGGATTGCCAGGAAAAGGAGGAGGGATGATGCAGGACGAGACAGGAAAGCAGGAAGAGGAAGAGGCTGAGGGGAGGAAGGACGAGGAGGAAAAGGAGGAGGAGGAATGCCCGAGGAGGCCCCAGTAGGTCCCGGAAGGCCCAGAAGGCTCCAGGAGGCCCCAAGAGGCCCCAGGAGGCCCCAGGAGGGGGCAGGAGGCCTAAGGAGGAGGCAGGAGGAGGAGGAGGAGGAGGAGGAGGAGGGGGGGGGAGGAGGGGGGAGGAATATGGAAACGAGGAGGAGGAGGAGGAGGAGGAGGAGGAAGCGGATGAGGGAGAGGGAGAGGAGGAGGACAGGGGATGAGGAGGAGGAGGAGGAGGAGGAGAAGGGAGAGGGAGAGCAGGAGGAGGAGGCAGGAGGCAGGAGGGGCAGGGGGAATGGGGGGGAGGAAGCATAACGAGGGGGAGGGGGAGGAGGTGGAGGAGGCAAGAAGAGGAGGAAGAGGCAGGAGGCAGGAGGAGGAGCAGACAGGAGGAGAACGAGGAGGCAAGAGTAGGTGGGAGAAGGGAAGGGGCAGGAGGATACCCCCATGCAAGCTTAAGAGATTCTCATGTGGGGTCCTTCCGTCGGAGTATTTTCCCAAATTTTCCATGACATGCTACCAGGCGGGCTTCGCGCGCGCGCATGACGAAATCGTTCGAACGCCCTTGCGCGCGTGCGGGGATAGCACGATCCGTGTCGAATAATACCATGCGGGCCACTCTCGCGCGTCTGCCGCGCGCGCATGTCGATTTCATTCCAACACCGTCATCACCGACGCGAAAACGCCGTCATCGTGGTCGGCGTGATCAGCATCGGCGCCGTCAGTGGCTGCCCCGTCGTCGCTGCCAACATCGCCACCAACATCGCTAGTATCATCGTCATCATCGTGTCTACACTTGCCGACGTTACCATGATACCTTCCCCGTCCAAGTCGCCGGCTCGCACTGAAGTGCCCGCTTGGATGTGCGAGCGGTCAGCGCCACCGAGTTCGCGTCGGTCGCGCCAAACTACCTGGCCGTTGCGCGCTCGAGCATCCGCGGGCTTGCGCGGCCGCAGAGATGCACAGTCAACACTCAGCCCTCATCGCAATCGCTCCCGCATGGGTTTTGCAAACCAAGTTGCGGGTGGGTGGGTGGGTCGATTGCGCGAACAGTGGGGCTGACAACCTCAAGTTCGGCAAGTGCGTCTCACACCATATATTTCACCACGTAGGTTGCACCTCATCGATTGCTTAACGTAGATGGCACCACATGTTGTATGACACATACTGCACCACATTCACTGCAGTTATGTCTACATATACACATGTACACGCGTACCTACATGCCGTGTACCACATGGGTTGCAACACCTGCGTTGTTAGAGACACATTGTTTGGTGCCCGCGCGGGTTAACATGTCTATAGGGTGCCGTTTTTTCGTAGTGGTCGGAGGACACTGAAGCGCCTCTCGCGGCCCTTAAAGCCAGGACCTCCAGCGTTCTACGAAAGGGATCGAGCGAATGATGAAAAGGAGGACGACGATGGCGACGAAGGGGAGGGGGAGACACGTGATCGGAAGACGGACAGGTTGCGTGATCATGGCATCCGCCATGTCGTGGGCCTTCCCGATGATACTCCGAGTTTCTTAATACGCGTCGCGGGGCGTCACCCCCGCCGACAGCCCCACATCGACACCCGTCGCGGGCAGCCGCCGCGCGCCGAAGGCGCTCCGACCCCCGTCGCGGCGCGACGACAAGGCGAGGTTGACCCCCGTCGGGGGGGTACCCCCCACGCTTACTAAGAAACCCCGAGTACCCTCCCTCGGGGACGCCAGCCGGGGAAAGTCGGCGCGGGGGGGCATTCGACCCCAGTCGTCCATTTGTCTCCGATCTTGGGACCTGGGTGCCCCACTCTGCCCAGGAGCCTGCGGAAGAGCCCTCAGGACCCTCGTGTTAAGTCGGGCGTATCACTCTACAGGAGGAGCATTCCAAAATAGGCAAAACATAGTCTGGGGACGATGTTGAGATTTCTTTTATATGTTTGAGCATTTCTTGTTTGTTTGTTTTCCCTCCACAATCCCCCTGTAGGAGGACACGCCCGACCTGAGCCTAGAGCCGATCGATCGGCGATCACGCACAGATCTGGAGTGGCATTCGGCCAATTCTTCCACTGCGCTCGGGGTTCTGGTGGCGGTCTCGGGCGTCTTCTTGGGGCGGAGCGCTCGGATTGTCGGCTCGGGCTCCGTCCATGGGGCCCCCCCTTTGGGGCCTTGGCGCTCTCCTGGGCCGTCTTGGGGTCTCCTTTGGGACCTCTTGGGGCGGAGCGCTCGGATTGTCGGTTCGGGTTCAGTCAATGGGGCCCCCCTTTGGGGCCCTGGCGCTCTCTTGGGCCGTCTTGGGGTCTTCTTGGGGGCCGTCTTCGGGCCTCTTGGGGGCCTCCTCGGCCAGCCTGCGGTCCTGGGGGCCTTTAGGGTCTTAGTGGAGCACCGGGAGCCCAAACAGGCGAGAGCCCGAAACGCTTGGCAAGGACATGTCCGGATTCGGGCATCTACCGTTACGTCGGGCATGTCCCTCTACAGGAGGACTATTCAAGAACAGTCCAAACATAGTCTGGGGACGATGTTTTGACTATTTGTGGCTATTTCTGAATATTTGAGTTCGACAAGTTCGCACTGTTCGTCCAAAATCCGCCTGTCGGAGGGCGCGCCCGACCCAAATCTGTTGGCCTTTTGGAAGTGCTGTTGGAGCCATCTTGCGGTGTCCTGGAGGCGTCGCGGGCCGTGTCGGTGCCCATGCTGGGCGCGTCTCGAGGCGATCTCCCTCCACAACTCGGAGCCATCTCGGGCCGTCTCGGGGGCCTCTCGGGGCCTGCCCTTGTGGAAGTCGATCAATGGAGAGGAAGCATGCCGCCAAATAATTTCCAGATGTCTAAAACACGTTTCAAACATGCCTTAAACATGTGCAACACATATTTCAAATAGTGTTAGAAACTGTTTCAAACGCGTTAAACGCGTCTTTCATTCCAGGATCGGATTGTCAGAGTGTCCATTGTCGTGGCATCCGCACGCCTGCCTGGCCCGTCTTGGGGCCCTCCTGGCTCCGAGCAGCATCGTGCGGGCACGTGCGGGGAGCCGCCGAAGAGCAGCCGCCGAAGGCACGCGACGCTCCAGGGGGGTCAGACTATGGATCGTAGGCCACGGGCCCCCGTGTAGTGTTCCTACACGCCCAGGGCTGGGGACGACGAGTTCCAGGAGAATCGAGGGCACGCCAGCTCGTGCCTCAGAGCACGGTGGCGACTCTACACATACACATATGCAGCCATGCGACTGCAGTGGTTCTCTGCGACCTGCACATTGGCCAGTCAAGTTTCGCGCACAGGCAGGACGGTCCATCTGTCCATCTGCACACCTACATCTATTCACACTCACCTATGCATGTGCGCCGTCTTTGGCCCTGTTGGACCCGTCTTGGGGGCCTCTTGGAACCCTCTGTTACAGTATTGGCGCTCTTTGGCCTTTTCGCCAAAGGGCCCAACACGTAGCGTGGGGAGCCCCAGGAAGTCTGGCAATGGATCTGAGGACATTCCCGCGCCAGTGCCTGCCGACGGCACGCTGGCGGACAAGAGCACGACTGCCTCCTGGGACAGTCTCTCGTGGCGCCCAGCCCGCCTCAGCCCAAAGGCATGGGACCAACAAGTCCTGTGCCCGAGCTCTTGCCCGCACGCGTGCCCGAGACTGGGACCGAACGCATCGTGCGACCGGACTTGCAACCGACATCTCGAGAATCGCAATGGCGTCGAACCCAGACGTCCGATGCCACGCCAGCGCGTCCGGAGAGACCCGGGCGCCGCTTTCGGCCACGCTCGGGCAGTTCTTGTTCGGGCAGAGGTCCGGCCACGACACACACACCCCCCGGTACGGAGACGAGGCTGCGTGAACGGGCTGATGCTCCCTCCCTGGGCCAGTCTTCCCTATTCGGGGCGAGCGAGGGGGGGAAGCGAGAAGGAGAAGGCCTTCTCAGAAGGCGGCGGGGTTTCTTAGAGGCCCTCGCGCCTTCTGAGAGGATTCCTGTGCCTTCGGGGAAGGCTCAGAGAACTTCTCGGAAGGCCGGGGGACTTCCAAACCTTCTCAGAAGCCCTTCTTCTTCTTGCTCCCCGCTCGCTCGCTCGCCGCCGCCCCTTCTCTGCGTGCTGCCTGTGGGCTCTGGGGCGACTTCACCGCCCGCGCCAGAGGTCCCGCTGTCACCAGCCTGAAGCAGACCCCTGTCCCTGTGATCGGCATCCTCCTCTTTCGATGCCGATCTTACGGAGTCCCAGATCTCCGGAGGGCGCATCCCTCGGACTGTCGTCACCTCTGCGCTTGTCGACCTCAGGGGGGGGGATCAGCTCCAGGCTGGTTGCGCTGCCCCTCCCTGCGCAGGGTCGACTGGGCGGCGCCTCCAAGGGCTTCAAGCTGCTGAAGAAGAAGCGCGACGCCATGAAGGCGCGCCACCGCAGCGGGCCCCAGACGTTGGGAGCGGGCCGCATCGCCTCCCCCCGCGGAGCGCCCCAGGGGCGCCGCCAGAAGCGGCGCCAGGGTGCTGAGACCGGCCCGGGCTACCCCAGGGGTGTCCCGTGGAGGCCGGCTGGGCCCGCTCGGGGGGGGGGCTGTGGAAGCCAGGTGGGGCTACCTGGGGGGGCTCTCTGTGTGCAGCCTGAAGGCCTAGTATCCCCCGCCGCTTAGGCTCGTCGTGGTCTCGCAGAGAAGGTGGTTGCTTCGCCTACTCCCAACTCAGAGAAGTCAGAGAAGTAGCGGAGCCATATTCGCAGACGGTTAAATCCGATCGCACTGAGTACCTCTCACGGATCGAAAATGGGAAGTGGCCGAAGCGGCTCGGTAAAGTTGAGATGATGGGCCGCTCGTCCGAATTGTGCGCGACCGCTGCGTGGGGTTGCTCGCAAATCGAGCCCCTCCTCCTCCTCTTTTTTTTGTTGTTTCTCTCTCTCTCTCTCTCTCTTTCTCTATCTCTCTCCGGCTCCTGCTCCTCTCCTGCTCCTGCTGCTGCCCCTCCCTTCTCTCTTTCTCTCCTCCTCCCCTCCTCCTCTCCTCCTCCCCTCCTCCCCTCCTCTCCTCCTCCCCTCCTGCTCCTGATCCTCCTCTTCCTCCTCTTCCTCCCTCCACCTCCTTCTCCTCCTGCTCGTCCTCCTGCTCCTCCTCCTCCTCCTCCTCCCCCTCCTCCTCCTCCTCCTCCACCTCCTCCTCCCCTCCTTATCTCGCTCTATCTCTCTCTCTCTCTTTCCCTCTCCTGCTCCTGCTGCTCCTACTCGTACCTCTCCTTTCTCCTCCTCCCCCCCCATCCCCTACGTATCGGCCTCCGGACGGGGCTCTCGGGTCCGAGTGGGCGCGGGGCGGCGGGGGCGCTCCATACGTGTTTTTGTTGTTCTTACCCCTCCTCCCCCTCCTCCTCCCCCTCCTCCTCCTCCTCCTCCACCTCCTCCTCCTCCTCCTCCTCCTCCCTCAAGCAATCTGGGCTGGAGCACCAAGTCCCTCGCCCCCGCGCGCAGGGCACGTGTTTCGGCCTCTCCTGCACTTCCACGCAGTGCTTGGGGGATTTCGTCTCCTGCTGAGCCCACAGCAGGCGGCGTCAACGAAGACAGGAGAAACTTTCCCGATGGTAGTTGCATCCAGATATCCATGGAGCAAGTGCATCCATTGCAAGACTTGCGAGTACAATGCCAAGTTGACGGCGAATAACAAGAAGTGCACGTCCTGTGGCAAGCAGGTGAAGCTCTATGACCCGTCCCAGCAGAGGCAGAGAAGCTCATCAGTGGACAGGCGAGTTTCTTTCGACGGCGACGTGTTTCTCATCGACGAGAGCGACCAGGCCACACCAGGCCAGGGCACGCGCCACCGCAGCCCAGGCCGTCGGCGGCCCAAGGATCTGGCAGTCAAAAACCTCGACGGGCTGCTGGCCAAGGCCGCTGAGTACACGGACGACCCAGCGATGAAGGCCATCCTGGCCGAGCAGAGGTCCAAGCTGAAGGACCAGGCGGCGGCAGCCAGCGTCTCGGCTGTGGACTCGCTGAAGCGCGCCGACGGCGCCTGGAAGCAGGCAAGTCATCGGCATGAGCAGCTTGTGAGCCAGGTGCTTCGTCTCAGGCGCCAGCTCCAGAGTGCCGAGACCAAGGAGCAGGAGGCTGCTTTGGCTCTCGCCAAGGCAGAGGCTGACAAAAGGAGTGCGACACGTGCCCTTGCCCAAGCTGAGGGTGTCAGGTCTGCTGAGGAGACGGCAGCGGACCAGTCAGGCAAGGGCGTGCATTTCAGTGTCCACATGAACCCAGAGGTCTTCGACACGTTCGAGGACTGGGAGCGCGAGGAGTCCGACAAGATCGCCCTCCGCAACCTGAAGAAGGAGTTGCAGACCATGCAGGAGTCTTTCGCCGCGAAGGACTCCGAGCTCCAGGCTTTCATGGCCAAGCTGGACTCGGTCAAGAAGGACGTGGAGGAGCGCATGGGCAAGAAGAGGAAGACGAAGGAGGGCCAGGATGCGGTCACTCCGACCAAGGAGGCGGCAACGACGGCGGCAGGGCCTGCGGCGAATGCGGCTGCGGGAACCGACCAGACCGACGAGCCGACCTCGGAGGAGCTCAAGAAGGAGGCTGCGAGGCTCTCTCAGGCCAAGTTCGAGGCGGCCAAGAGAGCGCAGGCCGCGGCAGACATCAAGGCCAAGGGCGACGGCAAGGGCGCGGGCGGCGGCGAGCCTGCGGCGACCACGCCCACGGCCGACCAGCCTGGCAGCCCAGAGGCTGGCAGCAATGAGTGACTATCGACGGCGGAGTCCAGCAGTGCCAGCGCCACTGCGGGCTCGGACGCCATCCCCGTTGCGCGTACAACCAGTACATCATCGGCCACAACAAGCGGAGGAGAGGCCACGACTGTTCCTGAGGGCGTGAGCAGTACGGCACCTCCTTTTTCATTTCCAGGGGACAGTGGTATGAGTGCGCAGCAGCAGTCAGAGGCCACTGTGAAGATATTTTCAGCAACGTAACGTGTATGGGCGACAAGGCCTGGGGGCGCTTGACAGAGCTCAGCGACACGCACGATTACTTAGGCGTCTGTGAGACGCATGTCAGCAAGAGAGATATGCGCAAGTGGATTGGCAAAGCTAGGAGTTCTTCCATGCGCCTGCTCCACAGCGGCGACCTTCCCCACCCTTCGGCGTACTGGATGGGACGATGCTGCCCCGCACCTTTGGCGCGACGATCACGGGGTTCACCGCCATCTGCTGCCGGTGGCGCCTGCTGACATGAAGGGCTTCCTGGAGGCAGGCATCGAGAGGTGGACGATGCAGAAGCTGCTGGGTGCCATCCCCGACGTCGAGGATCCGACCACCGACGTCTGGGAGCCGGCCCTCGGGAACGGCATGAGCGAGCTCCCGCCCAAGCAGCTCGGCGCTCCGAGGGCCCTCTGGGCGGACCGTTCCCCGACGGCGGCTGGGCTCGCCGCTTGGGGGCGCCAGGTCGAGCCTGGCTGCGCCGCGTGCTCGGCGCCAGACGGCTCGTGCGGCCACCTCTGGTGCGACTGCGAAGCCCCCCTCGCCCCCGATGAGGGAGAGAGCTCGAGCTGGATGCGGATGTGTTGCCGGAGAGAGAGTTCTTCCTCATCGGAACGCGCTCCGCGCTGCTGCACGGCCCCAGGGCTGCCCCGAACACAACGCCATGTAGTTATCATGCGCCCTGCCTGCGCTGTCTTGTTGGCATCCCTCGACCACCAGGGATCCCTGAGGTTTGGGGGCGGGGCGGCGTGGGGGGCGCGTGGGGCCCCGTCGTCTGCGGCGATGGGAGCGCCCAGGGATCTTCGGTGCCAGGGGTGCGCAGGGCTGGTGGGGCCCTCGCCGAAATTGGCACGAACAGATTCCCTGTGAGAGCCCCATGTGGGGATCTGGTCGGGCCCCTTCGAACAGGTGGTCGTGCCCGGCGCACGGCGGCGCTCCAGGTGTTCTGTGCCAATCCCAACGTTTTCAGCTTGTTGCAGCCGACCCACTGCCCCTGGTGCGTGAGGGGCAGAGTTGGGATCCCGAGTTGGCTCGGGGCATACAACAGTATGCTGGGGTCTGGATGCCTATCTTCGCTCACTGCGAACGGCGATCCGCCGATGACCCCCCCTGTTCGGTTGGACCCCCGCTCGCCTCTCCGTTGAGCGAGCATTTGAGCGGGGATGCGACCTCGTTGCGTGGGTAGGTAACGACTGGGCCGATTACTTCGCCAAATTAGCCTCCCGCCGGGTCCTGTTCCCCCAGAGGTTTTGTAAGGTCATCGATGCCGAGTTGCAGTTCCATGCAATAGCTCTCCAGTATGTGTCGCGGGCGGCCGCTACGCTGGGACGGCTGGGATGGTGAACGTACATCCCTCCTCCTCCGCTGGCCACTGAGCCGCCTGCTGCAATCCAGCTTTCGATCCACGAGCACGGTTTCATATTGGATTCGCGTTCGGGGGGGGGGGGTCGATGTAAGTTGCGCTTCGTCGGAGCTCGCTCGGCGAGCACGCTCGCACACCTTTGCAACGGCAGCCAGAAGGTGTGCAGGCGTAGCTCGCTCTCGGCCTGGAAGGCTGAGGAATGGCTCCGCGCCGCGGGGCCTCACGCCCATGCCCCGCATGCCGAGGCGGCCGGGGTGGCGCTCGCAGCGGCTGATGCTGCTGCTTCCTCCTCTTTCGCCCCCCTCCGAGCCTCCTGCTGCGGTTGCTGCGGATCCCCCTGCCCCCCCGCCTCCTGCTCTGGGGTTGGGGGCCACGGGGCTTCAGGAGTTTAGCGACCGCGGCCGCGCGATGGCGCAGATCGGTCGCGCGTGCATTTGCACCGTTTGTTCTGGCTTCCTGGTGTTGCCCCGCGGGGTCCCGAGGTCCCTCCTGGCGTCCTGTCTGGGGCCCTCGGCGGTTCCGTCCACCCGGGCCAGGCAGAAAAGGAAGCTGGCCAGAGCCCTGGCGGGCCTGCATCCAGCTCCAGGGGGTCCTCTGGACTGAGTCTCGGCCCCACGTGGCGGGCGCGCGCTCTTTCTCCGCTGCCGTCCAGCCTCGCGTGTGCGCCGTGACCTTTTCTTCATGCTTGCCAGTAGTTGTCAGTCCCGTGCTGACGACCCTCTGTCGGCGCCCACCTCCTCCTCCTCCTCCTCCTCCTCCTCCTCCTCCTCCTCCTCCTGCTCCCCTCCTCCTCCTCCTCCCGCTGCTGCTGACGCGGTGAGGGGAATGAAACCGAATCGTCCACGACGTGACTTGTACAGGAGAGGGCCACCCACTAAGGCCAACCCCCCCTCCAGTACGCAGTCAGACTGCAGCTCAGACTCGAAGGAGGGGTCCATGGGGGGATATAAGATCCCCGCGCAGCATCTGGAACCTGGGTATCAGGGGCTCCGAGCGGGGTCCCCACTGGCACATCCTCGAGGAGCACACAGGCATGGAAACGACAACGATCTGGTGGGTACTCTTTGGTCCCCAACTGGCAGGGGCCCATCCCTCCCGCCGACGACCGACCGCTGCCGCGTGCCCACCAGGGCGCTGGCACCTACCCCCCCCCCGCCCCACCACCGCCGCCGCGCCACCACCGCCGCCGCCCCCGCGCCAGCACCTGGCCAGCCTGACCAGGCTGGGAGCGTGAACTCCGAGGAGTCGGGTGGGCTTCTGGGATTCACCACCGAACGTACACCGATCTATCTGCACCGAGCTCGCACGCACAAAGGAGGGAAACCACCCACGCGAGTTCAGGAAGCCTCCAAGACGCAGCCCCACCCCGCCTCCAAGGAAGCTCATGATGCTCAAAGATACAACGCACCTTGGCACATGCACATGTCACAGGCATACGCACGGAGGTCCTCAGCAACTCGGCGCCTTCCGGAGGCGGTGAGGCGGCGGATCCCCCGTGGCGCCTCGCTGGAGTGGATCTGCCCATGTCCCGGTCCCGCTGCTTGGGGAAGACAACGCATCGCATCCCACGTCTCGTTAGGAGGCCCACACATGACCCCAACAGCAGCTCCCTGGAGAACCAAACTCGCCCAGTGCTTGATGTCCCCTTCGACCCTGGGGTCTCCCCTGGTATCTTCCGCTGGCGCATCCACGGACAACGCCCGCAGGGGGCGAGTGAGGGAGGGGAGCGCGTTCACTTCCTCGACCAAATGCTGGAGGCCCAACGGGCGGCGCTGACCAGAGAAGAGGTGCACCAGAGACGCGCGTCCGATGCGGTCCCGAGGAATCGCCTCCGCCAGCGGAGGCTCGCCCATCCCTTCCTCGGCCCCCCCAATCGAAATCGGCGCAAAGGGGGAACGGCGCCAGGGTGGGGGTGGGGCCAGGGGTGAAGCACGGAACGGAGATGCGAAACGCAGGGACCAGGGCCTTCTCCTCGTAGACTCCAGCAGCCCTCAGAGAGCGGCTCAACTTCGCATCCTCCTCTGCGAGGCCCACAACCTCAGCCAGAGTCAAAGGGGCTTGGAAACCAACGAGGCCCCCCAAACAGCGCCTGCACCGATGCCGAAGATGACGGATCAACCTAAGCCGAGCGTGGAACTCAGTGCCGCACGCCATACAGACCGACCCGCGAGCATATAGCTGGGGGAGATCGAAAGAGGGATGCTTCTTCGCGACGCGGGTCTTCCACGCACGCGCACTCGCGAAGACAGCTTGGCACGCGCAGATGGGGGAGACGGCATGAGCAACAGGCAGCTGGGGAGAGAAAGGGGGGGGGAGGGAATCCCAGTCTCTGTCGCCGCGCGGCAGAGCTCCCGGCGACGGACGGGGAGGCGCCGCTGGTCTCTGTGCCAGAACCTCCTGCAGCCCCACGCGGCCCTCAGGATACTCGCGACGGAGCGGGGGGGAGAGCGGATGAAGGCGACGCGATCCTGAAAATTGGCAGGGTATCCTTCCGACGCAGCAGAGGGGCAAACGTTGCCACCATTTCTAGATCCGCTTCGAGGGCACTGGGCCAAGCACCCGGGGTCCCTACCTGAACGTCTAGGAGCCAGAGTAACAGCTTGGTGCCAAACCTGACGAGACGACTGGCATACCGGAGCCTGCGATACCAAAGGAGTCTCCGCTGGTGCAGCCTCATATCCGAGCAAGACTGCGTCCTCGCATGGGAGCTGCCTAGTGGTCACCCACGAGCAGCGCCGGGCCCTCCTGAGAGCGCCCACGTTGGCAGACGCGAAACTTCCCCACGCCTCGGCACCGACTCGCGGCCAGACTTCAACGTTATAGCAGAGCCGCGACAAAACAACACTGGCAGCGAACTGAAGCTTAGGACGGAGAGGAATGACAGGAGATTTCGAAATCGCTTTGGCGAGAGGGCGGAGGGCCATCATGCTACTCTGCATGCGCCAGGCCACTTCAGGGCCCATGTCCCCAGACGCGGAAACAACAGTCCCGAGGGATTTTTCCTGGCGAGCAACGGACACAGCAGCACCGACATCAGGGAGAGGAACACTACAGCCCAGCTCGAAGAAAATCGGTCTCTCAGCCCACCTCTCGTGGCGTCTCCGAATGGAAGTCAACGCCTTGGCCTTGCCATTCGAGAAGCTGTAACGCAGCCCATATTTTGCTGCAGCACTCACGATGCAAGTGGTGGCCGTGACGATATCTTGGCACAACGTGACAGTGGACCAACAAACACACGGAAACAGGGCATCGTCAGCGTATGTGCTATCCGTGAGGCGCATGTCCTCACTCTGCCCTGGCAGAAAGAATATTGGCGAGCTCTGTCCTTCTCAGCTGCATCAAAAGCCCAGCTCCTGCAAGGCCCTTCTCCGCACGGTGTAACGCACGAGCGACAATAATATTAAATATTGCATCCGCCGGGGCACCCCCGGGCCCTGGTTCTTTGCACGCGAGAGCCAGCGAGGGGACTTTGGCAACTACAAACCAAGTGGAACGCTGTGCCTCGGAGAAAAGGTAGAAAAGGTGGGGGGGGACCGCGCCTTCAGGAACGGGGGAGCACTTCAGGGCCTCATGAAGTGAGGGAGAGACCGAGACCTGGCCTGCCGAGAACTTACTCTGGATGTGGGCATGCCAAGTTGTCCTGGCCTGCCAAGTAAGGCCCTGGACGTCCTCCAAGCCTGCCGATTCTCGGAGACTCGCGATTTCTACCTTCCCCCGACCTCGCCCTCGTCCTGGGTTCGTCTCGTCGCTCTCCTTCCGAGTTTGTTTCTTGCCGATGCCCCCCCAGACTCGCGGCGGTCTTCAGCCTCGGGGTGCCTTCCAGCGGCTGCGCCTCGCCGAGGACGTTCCGGGGGTGCCAGGATCGTCCCGAACGGCCGCTGGAGAGCCGAGTTATGGCCCGAAAACCACCATGGGCAGCGCAAAGAGGTGTCGGCAGAAGGGGGGACGCATCGACCCCCAGTCGCCCATTGATGGCCGATGGGGGCCCGAGAGCCCCAACCTGCCCAGGAACAGGCGGATTCACGGTCGTGGGCCCATCGCCGATCTATCGGCGACGTATCGCCGATTCCAGGCCGATGTGTCCCCAAGTCTCCCCGACTCGTCGCGTTCCCTCCTCCTCCTCCGCCGCGCCTCTCCCTGCGAACGTGCGGGCGGAGGCAAGGCCCACACGACGGCCGCGGTCTGTGACGCGCACCGCTGGTGCAGAGCGTGGCCAGATCCGGTATGTGTGCCTCTCGCCTCGAGTCGGGCCTGTCCCTCTACAGGAGGCAGGTTCAAAAATAGTTTAAGAGTCGTACGTGGACGATTCATTCCTAATTTTGAATACTTTTGATATTCTTTGACGATGTTTCATTGTTCCTCCAAATCCGCCTGTAGGAGGACATGCGCAACTGAAATCTCGCCCCGGGTCCAGGTGGCACGTTCGGTAATTAGCACATCACGTCGGGGCTTCGCAGAGGGAGGGTTATCCCAAGGTGGGGCTGGGGAGCGGGCACAGCCGCATGCTCCCGTTTCATGCGCTTCCTTCTTCAGGCGCCGTCCAGAGCGCTTTTCCCCCCAACCCCACCCTTGCCCATACCCCACCATCGTGCCCCCCCCGATCATGGGAGCCCAGTATACCCTCTACATTCCGAACTTCAACGTCAATTTAGCGTCGAGTAGCGACTGGGAGCGGATGAGATAGCGACGGTTTAGCGTCGGTTAGCGTCGATTAGTGTCGATTCGCGTCGATTTGACGTCGACCAGCGTTGCGTTAGCGTCGACCAGCGTCGATTCGCAAGAGCCGACAAGATGGTATGGGAGACTCCCATGAGTTGCCACCGAAAGGGGGCACGCGCGGCGTTCTAGGGAGGCCCCCGTTTGGGAGTCATCTGGGCGGCGCTAGGACGAGGACAAATCCGTTCCAGAGCAGTCCGGAAGGCTTTCAAAGCGTCCCGGCACGGTCTGAGAAGGCCGCGGCGCTCGAGACGCCCGTCAGCACCGCCGGGTCTCAGAGCTTCTCGATCTGTCCTCACGCGGATTTGTCCCCGCCCTGGCTTCGTCTTAGTAGTCGAAGGGGTGACATCTCGCCTCTGGCGGTCTGGCGGAGACCGGCTAATGAGGTGGCGGGAGCGTGGCGGAGGCAGAGCGAGGACGGCTGGCCCGAGCTCCCACCGCGCCAGCCTCGTTCAACACGCCGGGTGCGGAGGGCTTCGCACCGGCCAGGACAGCGCCCCTTCCCTGCGGCGTGCGTCTCTGCGTGTGCTACCAGCTACGTCCTGCCACGGCGTTCTCGGGCGAGTGCTGCCCGCGCGGCCGCTGTCCGAGCACCCACCGCACGCACGAGACCGCCAGCACGGCAGTGCGATCCGATTCGCCGTGCCTTTGGCGTGCGAGCGGACTGCCTGGGGACTGCACCGCCTGCGCCAGTCTCCCCCGCAGGCGAAGTTCATGGGCCTGCTCAAGGAGATCGTCGACACCAAGATGACGGTGGGCAAAGGTTTGCAGGATCGGGGCACGGAGTCTGCACGGGTTCTTCGTGCGGGGCTTCGCAAGGCATGCGACAGTTTGAGCCAGGCCTGTGCGTGGCAATCTGCGACACTGGTGCGGTGCGAGAGGCTGGGAGGAGGAGGCAAAGGCAGGCAGGAGGAGCGGGAGGTGGTGGCGGCAGCAGCGGTCGAGGACACGGGCGAAGAGATGAGGAACAGCACGTGGGCGCGCTGGTGCAGGAGGATGAGGACCCAGACATGCGACGTCCTGATTTTTCAACACGGCGTCCCTGGAAGTCCCGACCAAGTTCCCCTGGACCAGCTTCTCATCCTGAATCGTTGTTTGACGGTCCCGAGGCCTGGCGAGGGCCGCCCGAGGCGGAAATTGGCCAAAAACCTCCCGTCCTGACTGTTTTACGACGCGATCGCGTCTGGGGGGGAGCAGAGCGAGGATCGCGAAGAGGCGCGGGCGGGGGACGGGGCAGCGCCAACAGCGGCCGAAGCGCGGGGAAGAAGACAGACGTGCCACAGTGTTGATGGAGGCGCCGGCGGGGCCGGGGCGCGCGGAGGCGCCGGTCCGTATTATACGGGTTGACTGTAGAGGGCCATTTCGGGCTCCGGAGTGGCTCAGGTTCCCTGGCCGTGCCTGACAGTGGAAGCCCATGCCAAGAAGCACCCTGGTTGCCTCCAGGCTGCCCACTGGGTTTCTGTTGGGGCTTCGGTGGTTTTGCGCTGGCAGGCGTGGCGCTCCCACGCCAGAGCTCAGTGGGCGTCCTGGGGTCTCAGGTTCTTGGGCTCCCTGTGGAGGGTGTCCCGTGGTCGACCTCCGACTGCAGAGGGCCGCTTCTGGGGCCCAGGACTGGCTCGGGCTCCCGGGCCGTGCCCTGGATCTAGGTCGGGGGCCCTGCTGGGGGCCCGCTGCTCGCCCCGGCCAGGAGCGCCCCCCCCCCCCCCCTGGTTCCCTGTTGTCCTGGCATCGCTCTGGCGTGTGCATCTTTCCTTCGGCGAGGACCATCGAGGAGCACCCTTGATCATGTGGCGACAAAAGCCACGCACGAAACCGAACAAAAAACACAGGGAATGGACGTCCGAGCGATTGCCAGTTGTTCGGCGCTCGCTGTGGTGGCATGGTGACCGCACGCGGAAGCCATTTGGGGCTTTCCAAAAAAAAACAGCCTTGCCTTCGAAGAGGAATGGGTTGTCATCTCGTCCGCCGCCTTCGGCGGCAGAAGGTCGGCCTAAGGTCGGCGGAGGTAAAACGAGGCCGCTTCCGCCGGCGGAAGCTCTGCGGAAGGCGGCGGAAGTTAGACATTCGTCCCAGAGATGGCAACGCTTTTGGTACAGGGTTTCCGAAAGCCGCCATTTGGTTGGAGCAGCTAGCAGGGCTGGATGCCCTGGTGCCGGGCATGCTGACATTCAGCCCGCAGCGGCAATTTCGCCAGAGAGGCCTGTCGGAGACGACCCTCAGCTCCATACTTTCGTTCACTACGTGTGTGTCTGACCTCTCCTCGCAACGCGACCCATGCCCCAAGAACGAGGGCGTCGCGAAAGAGAAAGAGAGAGAGAGAGAGAGATATAGACCGCAGCATGAACGGTCCCCACGATCGGTCACGCTCCTCGTTGCCCTCAGTGGGACACCTCCTCATTGCTCCTCCACGTCGTCGTCGTGCTCGTGATCCTTATCCTTTTCAGCCATCTCCTCCTCCTCCTCCTTTTCCTCCTCCTCCTCCTCCTCTTCCTCCCCTTTGCTGTTATGTCTTCTCCTCCCTTCCTCCTCTTCCTCTCCCTCTCCCTCCTGCCCACCCTTCTCGTATCGCTCCATGCCCTCGGCCCCGCTCCTCTCCTCGTAGTCGTCGTCCGAGGGGCTTTACGTTACCGGTGTGGCGAGCAATGCGTGCTCCAGAGTCCCATCCTCCAGGACGCGGCGTTCTCCCTGGCGAAGGCGAATTGGGCCATGGCCGGCGACGACTTCAACTCGACCGTGGTGGAGAGGACGATGAAGCCGACCGTGCAGGATTCGCGGGTTGCTCCAATCTAGGCCTCGCAGATGTGAGGTCGGGGGATCGCGCCGCATCGCCCATGCATCGGCGATGCGATTCGATGTGGAGCCCGTTTATTCTCCACACCGACATCGCCGATGCATCGCCGACCTCGCCGAGGCATCGCCGATGCGTCGGCGATGCAGCGGCGATGCAGCGCGATCCACTGACCCCATCTACTCGGACCCCCATCTGGGAGGCCTCTACTCTATCCAACGCCTTGGCATCGCTCGGACGTGTGCGCTTTTTTTGGCTGACGAGGACCATTGAGGACCATCCTGGCTCATCTTGCAGGTAGAAAAGCGCACGACACCGGCGGCCTGGCTCGGAGGGGGGGAGGAGGGCAGAGGCGGAGGCCGAGGAGATGTGGATCGAGCGGGGAGGAGCTCGCGCCTTTCCGCCGACCCCCAGACGACATACGAAATCGACGGATGAGGCCTCTTGGGGCCTCTCGTTGGCGTCTCGGGCGCGCCTCCGAGGCTTCTGTGGAGCTTCTTGGGCGTCGTTGACGGTTTGGGGGGTTCTTTTGGAGCGGGGGCGGCTCGGGACGATCGAAATGCTTGCGGGAAGAATGGGTAGGATGCCCAAACAGCAGTTTCTGTTCATTCTGGACAGGGCTGACTGTCCGCGCCGCCGCGGACGTTGTCCATTTGAGACAGGAGGCCTCCCGCCCAGCAGCGGCTGCTGTCGCTTTTGGACAACATTTGTTGTTTGCCATCGTGCCCATTTTTTCCGTACCCATTCCGGGCGTCCAAATGGGGGGAGGATGGAGGGGGGCGAGCAGCAGAAGGACGAGCTGTATGATGATTCGCAATGGAGGTGAGAAGGGCCAGGAAGAGCAAGAGGTGTAGTCAAGCATTTGCATGTCCTGAGACCCCTGCAACTCCAAGATCATGCAGGCATGCAGGTGAGATGGTAGACGTATGCCTCACTCTCTACCCTATCCTTCTCCATTCCTCGGTCTCCTTCAGTTTGCTGCTTCCCTGAGCATGTCGTTATGCTGTCAATTGCTACGACACGGTGCCAGTGTCGAAACATATTTACCGCTCGATTGACGTCATGCGGGTTATCGTGCAGTCCCTGAGCATGTCTTGTCGTTCTGCCTCCGATTGCCACGACGCGGTGCCACCGTCGAAACAGTTCTCGGCGCTTGCTTCACACTATCCTGTTCTCTTGAAGCTGGAGGTGACCGAAAACATGGTCCCCGACGTGCTACTACCCTCGGATTAAAAAGTGGTGATCGGCACTAGGCCAGGGAACAACCCCTGGGCCTTTGCCAATCGAAAACAAAAACTCAAGCATCGACCTTCGATCGATCCCAAGTAACTCCCAGACAGAGTCGTGACCCGAACGGCGGAACGGCGACGCGGGGGTGGTCGAGACGCGCGGTTGTTCGGGCAGCCCAAACGAAGTCGCCACTCTTTGGCGGTGCGAAAAGCGGTCGGATAATACCCCGCGAGGAATTCTCAGGCGATATCGCCGCTCTCAAGCGGCATGAAAATGGATCGGACCATTGTTCCTGAGGAAGTCCCGGGGCCCCATGGCCTGACGGGGGGCCAACCGCATCTTTCTCGATCCCCACGGTCTCCACTTTTTAATCCAGCGGGTTGTAGTTTAGAATATTCGCCAGACCACCCAAGTCACCTTTTGGATGCAAGCCCGACTCGCCACTATTCGGAGACTCAAAACGCCAAAGGATGGTCTTGTTACTTGCTACGCTTGGTTCGTTTTCAAAGCATCAGGTGTTTGATGCCAGTTCTCTACACTGCGATCTTGGCAGGCCAAAAACGCACCGTGTCTCAGCGCTTGTAGACAAGCTGGTGTAGCGACTTATGTTTCGTCCGAACATTAATCTATGGAGCGGGGGCTGGAACAGGTCTCGGCGCGCAGAGCTGAAAACTGAACCACCTACGCTCTGGCAGCATTAGGACACTGGTGCTAAACAGGCCCGGAAGCCCAGGGCTCGTCCGCGGCGAGTTGCGATGGTGGGAGGCCACAACACGAAACGTATGTTTAGCTTTCTCAGTTTGCTTGTTGATATCTGGGAACGCTTCAAAGATGGTTTCGAAGACGCAGAGCTGAAAACTCAAAAACAACGGCCAGGGCATATTCAGAATTAGCCAGGTCATACAGGTGATACGGCGATTGGCAGAATGCGTAACAAGACATTTGCAATGTGCGTGCTCCAGTGGCGGTCACCAGATTCAACCCTTGCCTGTTGTGCAGCGTGCTAGAGCCAGAGGCTGTTGGAGTCATGGCTGTTGCTTCGGATTGAGGACGACGTGTGGTGTGCCATGCTGCTCTATCAAGTTGTGGGATGGTTCGTATCGCTCCTGTTTCATTTTCAGGCCAGCGCGCTGCGCACACTGACGAGCGCACGGCAATCAGACTGTTACGCGCCTCTCTTTCCGCGTCTTCCCCTCGTCACATAAGCGCCGTGCCACGTACATTCAAGCAAAATATGAGTTGACCATGCTTGCAGTATTTACTCATGCGAGCAGTAAGCGTCGCAATCAGATCCCAGGTGAAGCTGGTGCAGGACAATTGCGGCGGCCTTGGTCAAATCGACGCTGATCGGCTTCCTGCCTGCTCGCGTGCTCGGGGGACCTCCCATTGCCATCGGCTCAACTTGAGGGGCAGCGATGAGGCGTTCCGACTAGTATTGCAGCAGCCAAGGGAGACACATTTGCATGAACCTGAGGTCGGGATCTTCTGATCAGCGTGTCGCTCCGCCGGTTCTGGCGCACCGCGCCTCGGTGCGACACGCTACTGCAGATTCGCGTCGTGTCGACCGGCGGCGACCCCAGCACATGAGTTTCAGATTGAACGCCGCCCGTGGCCGAGAATCGGCCCTTGTTGAACGATCCGGCGTTAGTCAACGGCCGATCGTTCAAGTTTGAACGCTCCCCACGGTGTCAGGAACCAACGCCGGGGTCGACACGACGCGAACCTGCCTTATCCACTTCGCGGCCCCGAGGGGGCGTCAGCATCCCGAGCTCTTCCGAGCCTCCCACCCCGTGGGGCGGAGCGACACGTGATCCACTCGCAGGGCATGGCGTGTCGCGGGGGAGCCGCCGCGTGGGCACGCCACGCAGCAGGTCCTGACCTCCGCATCGCCGCGCGGACGTCTCGGAGCGGCGCTGCGCACCCCTGGCGGGGTCTCCAGCGCCGCCCCCGGTGCGCCGCGCGCGGGGAGGGGAGTCCAGCGCCAGTCCCAGAGAGCCGCGCGGGTTTTTGAACATTTTTTTATGTTGTTGCCCTGTACCCTGTTTTTTATCGAGGAGGAAAAGACATAAGCGTGAACTTGCGGAGCTTCGAGCGGGTTTCCCGGATCGGCGTTGGGCACTCCTGGCAGCGCCTTTGGAGCCGCCCCTGGCGCGCTCCGCGCGCCAGAGTGGGGGGTGCAGCGCTTATCCAAGACGTCTGCGGGGAGTTTCAAAAGTCCATGTTTATGTAATTTGTCTTTTTCTATTCGAAGCGTGCCAGGCACCATTTTGACGCGGGTGTTGGTCAAGGCGGCGACGGCCCCCGAAGCTTGTAGATTCGGACGTCTGGACGTTCTGCGGTTGCAGCCAGTGTTGAAGGACAGGGCAGCTATAGGACGCTGAATGCCGATGCGACCGCTTCCGATCTAGACGGATCGGGTTGGGATTTCCTTAATGGTAGCAGCAGCTCGAAGCAGAGGATGATTCCAGGCGCTGGCGTGTCCATCCCTAACTTCAAGGTGGTGTACGACCCGACAAAAGGATCCCTTTTGCAGACGGCGCAGCATTCCTTGTCGACGTGAAGCAGGGTGCGCGCTCATTGTAACCATCGGCAGAGAAGAAAGGAATACTAACTCAGGGTGCATGACATAGAGGTGGCGGGCGCCCTTTGCAGCGGCATCGCGGAAGCGGCATCGCTCTGCCAAGGCATTACCTTCGTAGGTTATTGGTGCTCCTGTCTTGTCTCATGGGGCTCTGAAGGCGAAGGCTCTCTTTGTCTCTGTTTCTCTCCTTCTCGTTTCGGCGGCGAGCGAGGGGTGGAAGTGAGAAGGAGCGCCTTCTCAGAAGGCTCGGAAGTCCCCCGGCCTTTTGAGACGTTGTCTGAGCCTTCCCCGAAGACACAAAAGACCTTTCAGAAGACCCGAGGCCTTCTGAGAAGCCCCGCCGCCTTCTGAGAAGGCCTTCTCCTTCTCACTCCACCCCCCCCCTCGCTCGCCGCCGATCGTGGCATGATGCTTGCGGGCGGACGCTGCGGTACGGGACAGCCGGGAGCACGCACCCGTCGGGCACGCGCAGCCAACGGGCCCGGGCCCACCCGTGCCGCCCCGAGGGGGTTCGCTGGCCGGCCGGCCAGCGGAGCCGCGCGATGTTCTCTGCTCCGGTCCGCGCCTCTTTTTTGTTGTTGTTTCTCCTCCCCTCTCTCTTCGTTCTGTTCGCTCAGACTTCTTTGTTCGTGTTTTCTCTCGCGCCCTAGATGGGGTCGGCGCAGATGGGGTTGGAGGGTCGCGCCGCATCGCCGATGCATCGGCGATGCGGCTCGATGTGGGGCCAAATTTTCTCCACGCCCACGTTGCCGATGCATCGCCGACGTCGCCAGTGCATCGCCGATGCATCAGCGATGCATCGTCGATGTTTCGGCGATGCGGCGAGCTCCTCCGACCCCATATACTCGGACCCAATGTGGGAGGCCTCTACTCTCTATGTCTCTCTTCATGATTTTCGCTCTGACTTGATCTTTCGCTCGACATCATGCGAGCGTTGGTCATGCGAGCAGCGTGGCCCAGTTTCTCTCCGACTTGTTCGCACGCTCTCTCTACAGCATGCGAGCGCTGGCAATGCGAAGAGCTTGGCCCAGTTGCCAGATGGCTGTGTCCGGCAAGGGCAGGCATCCGCCTACTCTCGCAGACAGATCCTCGGAGACGATCGGACCTGTTCTCGCTCTTGGCCTGCATCCTGCGAGCGTCGGTCGGCCAGGCAAACAGCGCGGCCCCATTGCCCGACGGCCCTGTGCTGCACGGACAAGAATCGCCTCTCCTGCCGCCGCAGACACCTCCTCGGAGACCATCGGCATCACGAACGGCGGCGCGGTGGTGAAGACCTGCAAGGAGACCTACCTCAAGGCCGGCCGCTGGGCACGAGCCGCGGCCTCCACGGCAAGCGCCCCCCGGCCGGCCGGGGCCCCTCTCGGGGCCGCTTGCGATCCTCGACGAGGCGTGAGGGTGTCCGGGGCGGCAAGGAGGGGGGTGATGACTAGGGGGGGGGATATCATGGCGTGGGCCGCGATGTTTCCCCAGATTTCATGGCGCCTCTTCTTATTTAATCGCTTCGCTCATGCCGCCGGCCCTAGGGCCTCTTGGGGGCCTCTTGGGGACCTCTTGGGAGTCTCTTGGGGCTCCTTGGCGGCGTTTTGGAGGCCCCCAGGGCCTCTTGGGGGGCTCTTGGTCGATTGCGGCTTTGGGGGTACGAGGGGTGTCCCCCGAAAAATGTCGAAAAATACCCTCCCCTGGAGTGGTCTGGTGGCTTCTCCCGGGCTTCTCTCGGGACCTTGCCGGGGTACTTTTCGTCCGGGGGCCCCCAGGGGCCGCTCCGCGCGCGCGAACTAGAAATATTGTTAACAAGTTACCGGAGATCTTAGCACGCCTCTGGCCCATTGGGCCGGCGAATTTCATTACGTCCCTGGCCCCCCCGCTGGGCCGCGCACATGCCGCCGGCCATGAGTTGCACCCCCCCCTCTTGGACGCCCCCCTCTTTGCCGCCCCCGAGGGTGACCTTTCGCCGGAGTGACCTTTGGTGCGGGCCCAGTGGGTTCCCCAGGTCGCCAAACGCGATGCGACGGCAGCGTCTTGCGCGCTCGTGTGTTTGGCCCCCGCGCGGTCCCGAAAAAAAGCCGCGCACCAGAGGTCACGCTTGCCCAGGGTCGCTCTTGCGTGCAGCCGAGATCCGATCGGATGCGGCTCGATTCGCCGGCGGGGGCCGCGATTCCGTTCCGTTTCGGTTCGGTCTTCAGAGGAGGGCGAGTCGAGGCAGCAGCAGTTGGCCTTCGGGGGGGGGGGGGCTGTACTGATCGCCACGGCTGGACGCCGCTCGGCAAGTCGGTGCTCCGAGGACAAATTTTTCACGGTGTCGTCGTCGCAGCTCGCCCTGCTCCGAGAGCCACGGGCATCAGCCGGGGCCAGCCAGAGCTGGGCGTGATGATCGGAGTTCGATTCGACTCGCCACAGCAAAATATACACAGACCCGCCATTAGATCGATCGTTCGTGGGCCTCTCAGGGCCTCAGGGGAGGGTGGAGGTGTATCGTGTTTGAAAGAGCGCCAGTGGATGCTCTCGCAATTGTTGAAAAGGAGGAGGGTGCTTGCATAACTCCCCCCACCTTCTCCCCTTCAAGGGGGGGGGTATTCGGACCCCCCCCCTTCGAAGGGGGGGTGAGGGTTTCCGACCCTTCCCCCCCCTCCCCCTCGTTGGCTTCGGAGAGGGGGGTGGCGATTTGGACCCCGCCCCCCTCCCCCCCTTTGCGCAGGACAGGGGGGGGGGCAGAAGTAGGGTTAGGGTTAGGGGTTAGGGCAGGGTTAGCCTTGTTAGGGTCAGTATGTAGATTTAGGGTTTGGGTTCAGGGTTAGGGCTAGGGTTGAGGGTTCGGGCTAGGGGTTAGGGGTTAGGAGTCAGGGTTAGGGTTAGGTTTAAGGGGTAGGGGATTGGAATGTTGGTAGGGTTAGAGTCAGGCTGAGGGTCCGGGATAGGGGTTAGGATTAGGGGGTAGAAGTTAGTGTTCGGGTTAGAGCCAGGGTTAGGGGTTAGGGTTAGGGGTTAGGGTTAAGATTCGTGTTTAGGATTAGGGTTTGGGTCAGGGTCTGGGGTCTAGGCTAGGGTTAGGGGTTAGGGTTAGGGGTTAGGGTTAGGGGTTAGGACAGTGGTTAGGGTTCGAGGTTAGTGTGAGGGGTTCGGGTAGCGTTACTAACTGTAAGGGTTAGGGTTTTGGGTTTGGGATAGGCTATAGGGTTCAGGCATTCGGGTTAGGGTTTTGGATTTCGGGTTAGGGGTCAGGGTCGGGGTTAGGCTTACGGTTAGGATTAGGGTAGGGTTAGGGGTGGGGAGATGGGGTAGGGGTTAGGGTAGGGGTTAAGGTTCGAGTTTAGGGTTTTGGGTTATGGCTCAAGGTTAGACGTTAGGGTTCGGGTTAGGGTATAGGGTTTGGGTTTAGGGTTTCGGGATAGGGTTAGGGGTTCGGATCGGGTTTCGTGCTAGGGTTAGGCTTAGTGTTGAGGGGTATGGCTTTGGGGTTAGAGGTTAGGTTAAGGTCGGGATAGGGTTAGGGTTTAGGATTATGGTAATGGGGTTGGGGTTCGGATTAGGTGTTAGGGTTAGAGGTTAGGGGTAAGGATTCGAGTACGTGTGTTAGGGTTCATGGGATAGGGTAGGGGCTAGGGCTTAGGGTTAGGGGGTAGGGTTAGGGTTAGGGTAGGGGGTAGGGTTACGGTTAGGGTTAGAGGTTAGGGTGAGGAACCATTAGTTTCATCGAAGCCCGTTGGACGAATCTCACCCACCCATGACCCATGACATACAGAACTCAACGCGTCGACGACGACGGCGATGCTCTTGCCAATCAGACAAGACGACGCATCTCCGATGTATCAGCGTTGCATACCCGATTCCAGGTCGCTCCCTCGGAGCTGGGCCCCCGTATCGAGGCGGCCATAGCCTCGCGGAAACCCAGGGGGCCACTGTCCAGCCTCCACGTTTCGGCCCCTGGGGAAGGGTACGGGCGCGGTTCTTGCCCGCACCCTTCGCGAATGACATTCTGAGCGAACGCTTGCGCGACTGATGTATCGCGGGCACATCTGCCCAGGGCGCGTGCACGCGCACCCACGAGCCGTGCGTCGAGCGGCTGCATCACGCGCCACGGAGTCGCCCAAGTAGTCTCCAGAGTTCACCGACGCGGGGGGCGCGCTTTGGAGCGCCTGGAGCGCCTGGGGAGGCCTGGGCCGCGCCTGGGGGACGCCTGGGAATCGCTTGGGAAAGCCTGGGGAAGGCCTGGGAGCGCCTCTGCGAGAGTTCACTAACGCGGGGGGACGCGCTTTGGAGCGCCCATAGCGCTTGGGAAGGCCTGGAGCCGCTGTGGCAGCTCCTGGGCCGCGGCTGGAAGCGCTTGGAGGACGCCACGGAAGCGCCTGGACATCGCCTGAGGGAAGCTTGGGAGCGCCACGGGCACAAACGCGCGCAGGCGTGCATGGGATCGCATTTTTGTTGACAGTGATCGCACGAGTTGGAGGCGCCTCTGTGCGCCGCGGAGCATCTTTGGCAATGCATTCGGGCCGCATGCACGGGACACCATACTTTTCCAGGGATTCGGGCCGGATGGGCAAAATACAACATTTTTACAAAAAGGGAGCGTGGGGGCGGATATAAATGGGCGGCCGAAGGGGCGGCCTGAGGGATTTGAGGGTTTGAATATGTATAGGCTCTTAGCTATTCGGGTTAGGAGTTTGGGTTATGGGGTTTGGGATTAACGTTATGGTGTTAGGGTTAGGGTTAAGGTGGTAGGGTTTGGGTGTCAGGGCCAGTACTAGGGTTTTGGGGTTAAGGTAGAAGGGGGCGATAGGGATTGGGATCTAGAGCCAGGGAGGCGGCGTGGCCAAGGGGGGTCCGATGTTCGAGTCCACAAGGGGGGAAGGGGGGGAGGCCCACACCGCGCCCCCCCTTTTTGAAAGGGGGGTAGGGGGGGGGGTCCCGGGACGACGGATCGGGAAAGGGGGGTGGGGTCCAGACCCCCCCCCCCCTCTGGGGCATCCAGCGGCGCGCCCGCTTTTTTTCTGAGGGTGTCCGCGTGTGTGTTTGTGTGTGTGTGTGTGTGTGTTAATACATACATATACATATATACATATATATAGATGTATACGTATATATATATATATATATATGTATTCGTGGCGTCGATATTCTCTGGCAATCCGATCTGTTTCCGAGCCGATCTGATTTCGCGATGCGGCCCAGCTCGGACACAAAAGCCCTGCGCGGGCGGGCGGTCCTCCCGACCTCGCTGGTCTCCATCCTGCGCGCGCCCTGGCCGCCGGTCTCGTCGCGAGCGACGTGCGGCAGCGTGTGAAGCCCGTAGCCCTACATCCCCCTCGAAGACAAAGGCGAGTTTTCCCCTCCCGCGATGTGGCGGTGCCCCAGGGCCCTAAGATTTGAAACTTCGCGCCGCGACTGGCGACGGCAGGCACAAACGTCTGACCCCGCGGGCCGCGCTTCGTTCGTCGACCAACCTTGAGACTTGCGTTTGAGTTCGAGGAGGGCTGCAACCCTAAAACATACAATGCATGTGTGACCTGACTTCGTTGCTTATCATGTTCGCCAGGAAGCACACGGGTCTTGAGGGAAAGGGCCCCTGAAGTGCTCGCTTCTGGACCGTCCCAGGGCGCTTCACGTGCCCTGCGCCGTCACAGAACGACTCGGGACGAATGGCTGGTCCGTGGGGAGGGCCCGGGGGTCTAGGACCCGTTTCTTCGGGACCAGCTTGCTTAACACCGGAACGTAGGCGGTGCGGCAATCTGTTGCGAGGGCGCGTCGCGGTCTGGGTGGGGCCCGTCGTGGAGAGGTTGCCCTCGCGCGGACAAGCTTCTCGGCGGTCTCGCCTCGCTCGCGAGGGACGCCGCGACCGTGTGCGAGCCCTGCGCAGCCCTGGCTCGTGGGGCCTGCGCTGCTCTCCGGAAGGCTGCCCGTGGCCCGGCGGGGCTGCCTGCTCCTCTTCGGCGAGTCCGCGGGGGGCCCTCGCGCGCGCTCCACGCTCCACAGGAAGTACGGTCAACCCGTATCGCAAGGATGGGCACAGGGTACGCTTGCATCGTTGGAGGAGGAGGAGGAGGAGGAGAAGGAGGAGGAGGACAAGCAGGAGGAGGTGGAGGGGGGAGGAGGAGGAGGAGGAGGAGGAGGGAGGAGGAGGGAGGAGGGAGGAGGAGGAGGAGGAGAGGAGGACGAGGAGGAGGAGGAGGAGGAGACGTAGGATGAGAGGGATGATGATGATGATGATGATGATGATGAGATGATGAGGAGGAGGAGGAGGAGGAGGAGGAGGAGGAGGAGGAGGAGGAGGAGGAGGAGGAGGAGGAGGAGGAGCTTCCTCGCCCCGTCCTGGGCCACTCGCGCTGGCCGCGTCCCGCTCGACAAACACAAAAAACGCTGCCAAGTGGGCGCCCGTGGCCCTTTTGCGCCCCGAGGGCGCCTCCCTGGCATGCGGGCCGGCCGTGCTCGGCGGAAGCCTCCGCGTGGCCGCGCGTCGGCTCTCCGAGGCGTCGGTCCGCAGCGGGAGCGGGCCGGGGCGAGGCGAGGCGGGGCCTCTGCGGGGTCTCCGGGGGACCTCCCGGGGGCTCCTCGTGGCCGAGGGCTCGACGTGCTGCTTCGTGGTCCCCCTCCTCTGGGGCCTCCCGTGGGGCCGTGCTCGGGGCCTCTTCCTGGGCCGTCTCGGAGTCGTCGCTGGGCGGTCCTGGAGCCCTCCCGGGCCGTCCTGGGGCTCTCTGGGGGCCCTCTTGGGCCCTCTTGGGGCGACGCTGCGATTCTCTCGGTTGGTGGGCGTCCCTGGCCGCAACGCAAAGGTGTGCACTTGGCGTTGTGATGCGTGGCGCTCCCACATTGAAAATAAATGGACGTCCTGGGGTCTCAGGGTTGGGTTTCTTGTGGAAGGTTTCTTGTGGTCGGGCCTCCACTGCAACTAGGGTCAACCCGCCCCTTCCGATGCCCTCTGGCTGCCCAGGTCAGTGGGCCATGCAGGGCGTTCCAAGAAATGGCCTCGCCCGTTTCCTCCCCCTCCCTCCTTCTTTTGTTACCGTCCTCCTCTTCGTTGCCCCCCCCTCCAACCATCCTTCTTCCTCATGCGAACTCCTCCCAGTCGCAGCGACAGAAATGGCGTTAGAGCGGACTGGGCGTTTCGCCCGAGACTTCCTCACAGCTTCGGATCTCGAAATTTGGAGACTCCCACAGCCTCGCGGATGGAGGGCAGGGCGTGCCTCCGGCGGAAGCCAGCGGGAGCCGCACGACGGCGGATCCGCCAGCGGACAGCCGGCGGGGGATGTAAAAGCCAGTCGGCCAAGAGATGCAAAGGTTCTCAGACGCAGCACTCCGGGAAGGAGCGCGGGGCCGGTCCCCCGTCGCCCTCCCGCTCCTTTCGCCGACCAGAGCCTGCCACCGCGTGCGTCTGGCCCGGGAGTCCTCCTCCCCCCTCCTGCATGCCGGCCGATTCGCTTTGTAGTGCCCCTGCATCGCTGCCACGCTGGAGCGGATTGCCCCGCCTCGCTGCCGACGAAAAAACGTGTTCGGCCCGAGTTCGCGGCGTCGCACTGGCTGGCCCAGGCGAGCCCGTCCTGGAGCTCGGCGGGGCCTGGCCCGAGGAGGCCGAGTCGCCCAGTAGCCCTACAGTTGTATCCCGCCAGTGCGCAGGCACTGGGCCTGTAGTTTCCCATGTTCAGGCAAGGAGGCACTGGGCCTGTAGTTTCCCATGTTCATGGGAGGAAGAACCACCCCGGCCCCGAGAAGTGGCGCTCACCAAACGGCCCTGGCCGCTTGCCCTGGTGCTTCTTAAGAGGGTAGCTTGTCTGCTCCCTTCTGTGCGCCACGTCCGATGGTTCGTGGGCCGCTCCCGAGCTGGCAGCGAGGGCCAGGGTCTTCGCCCAAGGTCCTCTCCGCTCCACGCCCCAGCATCGCAGCGCGCCGGTGCGCGCATGTCTTCTGCAGGCTCCAAGGGAGGGCCGAGGAGGCGCAACGCAGCGCGCGTGCCGCCCCGCGTGCCGCCCCGCTGCCGCTGCTGCCCAGACCTCTCCGGGGGCGCACTCTGGCGAGGATGTCGAGGGGCTTGGCATCGCTCCGGCGCGGGCATGGCGTTCTCGGCGACGACCATCCCAGGAGCATCCTGGATCACCGAGCAAACGAACAAGAAACACGCACGAGACCGAGAAATGGAATGATGCACGGGACGTGGGCGCCCGAGCCATGGCAAGGAGGCGGATCCAGCCGTTCGGAGGGCCCCCGCTGCACACCTGCACGAATTCCTGGCCAGGCCGATCCCGGGCCCAAGGGCGGTGCGCACGCGCGCGCTGCCCTGCACAGGCCAGGCGGCATGTGCACGCCAATGCGGAGCCCAGGATAGGCCGGGCGGGCCAGGTCTGGAGGTGAGGCGCTCCAGACATGGCCTCCTTGCCTTCGAGGATCCCAGGAGTGGTCATCTCTTCCGCGGCGGAAGTAAGACGAGGCCGCCTCCGCCGGCGGAAGCTCGGCGGGCAGGCGGCGGAACTGAACAATGCGCCCCCAAGAGGTGAACACGTGTTTTTTGGGGCTCAGGGTTTCCGAAGTCGCCTGTCTGTCGAGGCGGCGTGTTCCCAGCCGTGGAGGCGAAGGACGGGTCGCGCCCTCGGAGCCCCGCGCGGGGCCGCACCACGCCCCGGGGCCCTGGGGCCTCGCGCGCTCGCCCCGAGGGTCGCCGCGGCTCAAGCTGACCCCGCCCCGTGCCGCCGCGGCAGCGGCCCGCCCCCTCTCGAAGAAGGAAAAACGGCATGAACAGAAACTCTTGGCGCTCCGCGCGGATTTCTTGGATCCGCGCCTGGCCCCCCCCCCGGCGGCGCCTCTGGCGCCGCCCTTGGCGCGCTCCGCGCGCCAGGGAGGGGGGGCCCAGCGCGGATCCAAGAAATCCGCGCAGAGCGCCAAGAGCTTATGTTCTTTCCTTCTTGTACCCTCCGCGCCCAGCTTGGGCGCGCTGGAGACCTCTCCCCGCACATCGATGCGTGATGTCCGACCCCGAACCTGCGAGGAAGACAAGGTGTACCCATGCTCTACCCTTCGACCGTGTTTCCCTTTCTGGGCCTCCTGGGAGGCCCTCGTCGCCACCGCTGGATTCGCTTCGAAATTCTGGTCAGAACGCACTTTGGTTTCCCCACGAACCAGCTTTCCGGATCGGTTTGGGAGGTCGCCGCGGCGATCGTGGTGGCCTTCAGTCGGGGCAGAGTGTTTGTCAGGGAGTGGCATCCCCCCTCCCCCGCTCTGCGACATAGAGATGTGGCCCAGAACTCGCCATCTCGCGGCAGAGAGAACTGCCAGTTCCTGTCCTGCATGGGCAATCGAGCTTTGGTCGCAAATCACGGGAGCCTTGCGTGTCCTCCCGATTCCGTTTGCGCCAGCGCCTGGTATCGATAAGTGAACGCCGATCTCGCGTCGACCAGCGTCGGTTTGCAATGAGCCGGCAAGATGGCACGGGAGGCTCCCAGCGTCTGATCCGGGGGAACGAAGCATGGCATAGGAATCAAACATCGGAGGCCCGCGCGGGCCTCCGAGTTGTTGTGTTTCTGCCATGCGTCGCCGCCCTAATGGAGGATGACGATTAATAAATGACCGGGGGTCGTGTTCACGCGGCGGCGCCCGGGATGACGATTAGGAAAAACCGGCCGCGGGCTGGAAAACTAGTTGTTTAATCGTTCTCCTCCAGTCAGAAAATTGTGCAGAAATAGCAGAACACTTTTTAAATCGTTTTCTCCCCTTTTTTATTAATCGTCATCCCGCATTACGTCGTCCCCCTATGATCAGGGGTCGGCCATCATGCAACAAAAAGAGCGCAGGGCGCGCCCGCGATGCTCGCGCGCCTCGCCGCGCTGGGGGCGCGCGCCGCCGCGCGCCGCGCGCCGCAGCCGCTGCACGCCCGGGCGGGGCTGCGGCTGTTCTCCGAGTGACCGCGCGCAGGGGCGGTCCGGGGGAGGAGGGGGAGGAGGAGGAGGAGGAGGAGGAGGAGGAGGAGGAGGAGGAGGAGGAGGAGGAGGAGAGGAGGAGGAGGAGGAGGAGGGAGGAGGAGGAGGAGGAGGAGGAGGAGGAGGGGGAGGAGGAGGAGGAGGAGGAGGAGGAGGAGGAGGAGGGGAGGAGGAGGAGGAGGAGGAGGAGGAGGAGGAGGAGGAGGAGGAGGAGGAGGAGGAGAGGTGGCCGAGCATGTTAGGCCCGCGGAGGCCGGGACACAGGTGAACCAGGGCAGGGGCAACCAAGGAAACGGCACTCCTTTCTTTCCTGCAGAGTCAACACTTTTCAGCACACGTGCCTGTCTTGTCTGCGGCTTTGCAGGGTTCAGGTTCGTGTCCGGGTTTAGAGGAGGTCTTGCGGGCTTTCAGGGCCCGCGTCCGGGTTCATTCTGGAAGTGCTGCCATGCAGTATTTTGTTCGCACCGCCGTCTGGAAAAATTGTTGCAAGGGATGTATCGTTAAAAAAATAAGGATTGGAGGTTTGGAGCTATTTTCGGCCCAGGGGGGGGGGCTCACCGGGCCTCGGGGCCGTCAAACAACCTTTCAGGACGAGAACCCGGTCCCAGGGAAAGGGTCGGGATTTCTAGGGATGTCGTCCTGAAACAAACAGGACGTCACATGTCTGGGGAGGCAGCCTCGAGGCGATGGCTTCGGAACTGTTCGGGGCCTCTTTCTGCCTCCGGGGGCCGTCTACTGGGGCCCTGGAGCTGTCAGGAAACGGACCCGCGGTGAAAGTCTAACCCCAGTTTGAGCGGAGATGGCTTCATCCCCTTCTCCTGGCCGGTTCTTCCCAACCAGTTCAGACCTCCCTGCCGCCTCCAAGGAGCATGTGCCAATGCCCCTGCTCGTCATCCTAAAGCGCCCTCGTCGACACGTTGTCCTCATCGATGATGCCTGCAGGCCAGGTCCGGGTGTCCCATGTTTGAAGCCAACGGCAGGTACGAGGGGCAGAACGTCACCGACGACCAACTGGTGAAGAAGTCCGACGACTGGGCCATCGAGGAGACGAACTTTTGCCTCGGGCGGACGAGCTTCGTCCGCTTCAAGGAGACCGGCGGCCCCGCGATTGCCCCCGTTCCTCTTCTCGAGCCCCCCGCTTCCTCCTCTTCCTGATCCTTCTATCCTCTGTCCCGCTCCTCTTCTTCCTTGCCTCTCACAGACAGTGCGCCCCTTGGGAGCCAATTGGCGAGGGGCAGCCTTCCGACACGCCTCGCAGCCATGATCGCGCCTCGGTGCCCAGGCCGCGAGGATACAGACAGGGGCCTGCCCGTCGCTCGCGAGGCAACGCCACCGCGACCGAGACGAGTGGCGCTCTGGCTGCCGCGGACTGGGGCGGACCCCTTCCGAGAGCCCCCCCCCCCCCCGCCGCAGCCCTCGCATCACCGGGCCGCTCCCCTCGCATCACCGGGCCGCTCCCCTCGCACCGCGCCCTCGTGGTGCTCGCAGCCTGGGCGCGGAGACCTCCAGCCCCTCGATGTCCCCGAGCCACCACAGTCCCCGGACCGGACCTTCCGCGCCCCCGCTCCCCGGGGCGGGCCCGCCCCCCCCCCCCCATCCCTCCTCCTCCTCCTCCTCCTCCTCCCTCCTCCTCCTCCTCCTCCTCCTCCTCCTCCTCCTCCTCCTCCTCCTCCTCCTCCTCCTCCTCCTCCTCCTCCTCCTCCCTCCCTCCTCCTCCTCCTCCCCCTCCCTCCTCCTTCTCATCCTCCCTGCTCCTCCTCCTCCTTCTCCTCCTCCTCCGCTTCAAAAGGAGACCGACGACCTCGCGCGCCGCACGAAGCACCTGATGGACACGCAGCTGGCGAAGCAGCACACCCGCCTGCGCGACGGCACGGTCATCCCGTACACCGCCCTGTTCCTCACCGACGTCCTGGAAGCTGACGAGTTAACCAAAACCGCGTGAAGTAATTGACAAGGTCCACCCAGTGGCGCATGCCCAGGGGCGGCCGGAGGCTGCATGCTCGCCCTCACGGTCTGCAGATTCCAGCCGCCCCAAGACAGGCGCTCCCGCCCGCCCGTCCGACCAGCCCGTTTTGATGCTTCGCCCGCCCGACCGACCGCTTGAATGGCCCGCCCGCCCCGCCCTCCCGCCTGATGTCCCGCCGCCTTGACTACCTTCCGGATTTGGTAACTATCCTGCTCGCATCGTCGTCGCAGTCGTCAGTCTTACGACGGGTTTCCCCCACCTTTGCGACGCTTCTCCGCCGCACACGCACACACATATGTATACATACACAAAAATCTAGAGTATATATATATATATATATATATATATCTCTCTCTCTCTTTGTATGTATGCATGTGTATATATATACATATATATGTATGGGGGTGGCCGATTCCCTCCCTGCGAAAACAAATGCGGGATATTTCCTTCCAAAGTGGCGATGATAGTTGCGTGTTCTTTTGTTGTGCTTTCGCGAACGGCAAATCCAAATGACGGAAAGAGAAAGAAGGAATGCGGGAGAGAGAAGGAGAGGCGAGAGAGAGAGAGAGAGAGAATAAGAGGCAGAGAGAAATGGGGAGGAAAAAAGCTGAGGAGAAGGATGCGGAGGCGAAGGGAGGCGGATTGACAAGAAAGGAGGGAAGGGGAGAGGAGAGAGGAAGAGGACGAATATCCAGCGTTGTAAACAGCCACGATCACACAGCAGCGACGATGACGGTAGCCGACGATGTCGGGACAGTGTTGAGCACCCACGGCCCCGTGCGTCACATTACTGTCCGGCTTTCCCCCGCCCGCCGTCTTACTCCTATCTCCTCTTTCCTCCGTCCCCCTCTTCGTCTGCAGGCGGTTTCGCGTCCTGCACACCCCCGGCAGTGCCGCCCCTGACGGACTTTCGAGGACATTCGAGTTCCGAGTTCTGAGTTCCGTCCTCCGTCTACCTCCGCCCCTCCTCCTTCCTTCCGCTCGCCCTCGTCCTCAACGTCGGCGCCATCATCAGCGTATGCATGACCATCATCAACGCTGCCGTCATGCTCATGCTTGTCATCGCGATCCGCATCGTCATCCACATCCGATCGGTAATTAGCATCACGGCCGTTCTCTTCATCATCACAACCGGTCTCTTCCGCAAACGGATCATCATCTTCCATTGGTCCTCGTTCTCGCCAGCATAATGCACATCCTCCTCAGGATCCGCATCATCATCACCACCATCATCACCATCATCATTATCGTCGTCATCAACATCAGCAGCATCACCATCATCATCAGCATCGTCATCAGCAGCATCAGCATCGTCGTCATCATCTGCATCAGCATCAGCATTATCATCATCAGCATCAGTGCCATCGTCGTCGCAATCAGCATCACCAGCATCAGCATCAACATCTTCGTCATATTCATACTCATCCTCATCATCCTCATCATAATCCGCATCATTAGCCTCGTAGTCAGCATCATCCTCATCATCAACAACAGCATCATCATCCTCATGATCAGCAGCAGCATCAGCATCATTCCCGTCATCATTATGAACCAACGTCATCGACACTACCACCTTCCTCATCGTGTGCATGTTCCCTCCCGTCGCGGCCTTCTCCTGATCCTCCTTCAGATGATGGGGCTGTCGAGTGAGAGACTCCTCAAAAGCTTGAGGGCAAGGAGACTCCCGCTTGAGGCATCCCCGCAAGGACTACAGAGGAGGCTCCTTCATAAGATCTCCGACCAAACAAAGATCAAGATGCTGCCGCCTGATAGGTCCCAAGAGACCATACGTGGAGGATGCTCCCGTCTGAGATGGCCCCCAAACGATCTCAGATGCGGAGGTTCCCGCCTGACGACGAGGCTCCCGCCTGAGAGGGCCCCCTAAAAACCTAAACAGCAGGAGGCTTTCGCCTGCGAGGTCCCCAAACCACTCTCTGTGGAGGAGGCTCCCGCCTGAGAGGTCCCCACAACACTCGCTTGGGAGGAGGCTCCCATCCGAGAGGTCCCCGAACAACCTGTTCTGGCGAAAGGCCCAACCATATGCGGTTGTGAGTATCGCCGTTGTCTGTATCGCCTCCGGTGGATCCCTTTATAGTGCTATGAAGCGTGTCGAAGGTGTGCCGAATTGGTTGGGGCCTTCGGTGGCGCTCCAGGTGAGGCCGCCAGGCCGCGAACCGTGTGAGAGGTGTGCCGAAATGGAGCAGTGCAGCCATGCGAACGTCGCCGCTGGCCTTCGGTGAGCCACGAAGCGCTGTACTGAGTGGGTGAGGCGCATGCGACCACCGCCACTGGGGCCTTCGGTGGAGATCCCTATGAGGCCATGAGGCGCTGTACTGAGTGGGGGAGACGCATGCGAACACCGCCACTTGAGCATTCCGTGGGTATCCTTATGGGGCCACGAGGCGCTGTACTGGGTGGGGGAGACGCATGCGAACACTGCCACTGCGGCCTTATGTGAAGCTTCCAATGTAGCCACGCAATTTGCACTGGGTGGGGGACAGGCATGCGGACACCGCCACTGTGGCCTTCGGTGTAGCTCCTCACCATGGAGCCATGAAGCGCTGGACTAGGTGGGGGAAGCGCATGCTGACATCGCCACTGGTGCCTTCGGTGGAGCTCCCGATGTAGCCACGAAGCGCTGTACTGGGTGGGGAAAAAGCATGCGGACACCGCCACTGGGACCTTCGGTGGAGCTTCCTATGTAGCCACGAAGTGTGTACTGGGTGAGGGAGACGCATGCGAACACCGCCACTGTGGCCTTCGTTGGAGCTCCCTATGGGGCCACGAAGCGCTATACTGTGTGTGTGTCGGGGGGGGAAGAAAGAAACGCATGCAGACACCGCCAC